TTACTTTCGCAAATACGATCCATGGACCAGCGTAACGTTTTGGGTAGCGGACCGTCCGAAACCAAAAAATGCCAAGTGGCATATTATCCTTATTTCCTTTTCGCCCATTATCAGATTAAATATTAATGCGCTCAGCGCATTTTCAGTTTCATGTTTGATAGGTTGCGATAGTTTTCTTTTATATCTTACCATAGCTATGTTATCTTTATATATATTCTCAATGGCTTTTACTAAATCCAGTGATATTCTCTTTTCATATAATAATTGTATCGCGTCCCGAATTCTCACTCTATCAAACGCTTTCTTCAAATTTATCAAACACATAATATATGCTGGTTTGTTGTATTCCAGCGACTTTTTTTTTATTTGTCTTATTACAAAAACTGCATCCGTGCATGATCTTCCTGTCCGAAATCCTTGCTGTTCCTCTTGCTGAGATATTCGTTCGTTTATTTTTGCCGCTATTATTCTTGCTGTCAATTTGAGTGTTGTATTTAATACATTTATTGCTTGATAATATTGGGGTCTTTCTTATCTCCTTTTTTTGAAGAACATCAGCATGATCGCTCTCCTTCATCCATATGGCTTCTGGAAATTACTTTTATGTCACTTAATTTAAATGTCGCATTTTTCTTGCAACTTCACCCTTTACTTGTGCCCCTATTAGCTGAATGAGAGTTAATTGGAAGATATACAAAAAAGATCTTTCATAACCCACTGTGAAAAACTTTAAGGAAACAGAAGACCAATTTATTCTAAATGCTCATTAAGTATGTTCTAGGTACTAAAATAAAAACCATTTTTTATTTTTAGCAAATTCTGTAACAGAGCAATGACCAAAAAAACAACGAATTCAAATAAGACTACAAATAGAAAGGAGACAAAAAAGAAGACAGTGAAAAAGGTACTAAAGTTTCTTCACTGTGTTATTCGTCATCGGAATTAATTTTAACGTAAACTGTTTCTTTGAGATTAGTTAGTGTAAGTTGAGCTTAACTAATTGTTCAATGAATTTCATAGATATTTGCTCCAAACATTTTTTGTAATCGAACATATGACGAACATTATCTCCGTATGTCAGTAACTTTCATAATCTTTTTTGCTTCGGGTGTGATTTCGTATTCTAACGGCAGATATAACAAATCAAATGCAGTATGCCCGACGGTATAATATAATTGGAAAAATCAATATTTTTCAATTGTGGTAATATTTTACGCAACATTTAGAATAAGACAACACATATGAAAGTGTCATGGGTATATGGACACTGCAAAAATTAGTGTAAATGGTAAAATATTCTAATACTTGTAGAAAATTTTATTCAAATATATAGAAATGATTCAAAAATGGTGTGAGTGTTTCAATGCATTGGAAATATTAATTAAAAAAAGCCAAAATGATTATTGGATATGCACATAGATAGTTTTGACAGTGAAAATTAGAATTGTCAAAGGAATATCAGAGAACGAGAAAAATATAACGGAGGGCATATTGGAAGAGAATTAAAAAGAGTCGAGTGAAAATGTTTGGTGTACGTGTGCTAAAGAAGTCTGAAAATTTATATAGAAGGAAACATAAACTGTAAGTCATTTGCTTTAATAATTCGACTGGTTCTAGAAGTTCTTCATCCTGATTTTTTTGCCGAAGGGGGCAAATTATTGCAGGTTTAATTGTACTATATTTGGACAAAATTTGGAAGAGAAACTGGTTTTGGTATCAGAGGCCAGAAATTGGCAGTTTTTCATCATGAAGTTGTTTTTTTTTTAATTTTTATGTAGAATAGAACTTTCCATGTAAAAGTATTGACTTTTTTGTGACTTGGTTCTAAAGTCAGTTTTTTCGTTGTGTTATATTTCATTGTGGACTTTTGAAAATCAATTATAATTATTATTGTTGTTATTTATATGTTATGTTCTTGTTATATAATTACAAAACACTGTAACACCGAAAAAAGAAATGAGACTCTGAAAATGACATATCAGAAGGCTGAAAAGCCATATGAGTCACGGAGAAACAATAAAGTTTTATCATCAAATAAATATTATTAGAAAAGAATTCAAACCAAGAATCAACTATTGTAATGATAAGGAAGGTAACGTACTTACCAACAAAGAGGATATCCTTTTACGATGGGTAGAGCACTTTCGAGATTTGCTGGAAGGGAAGCTACTAACAATATAGAGCTGGAATACCGAAATGAGGAACTCGTGGAACACCCCTCGGTAGATGAAGTGAAAATATCTATAGAAAAACTAAGGAACCACAAATCCCCAGGGAGCAATGGCATCTCAGCAGAGTTATTTAAGCACGGTGGAGAGCAGCTCACCAAGGTGATGCGAGAAATTGTTTGTAAAATTTGGTCTGAGGAGCAAATGCCTGAAGAATGGAGCTTAGGCTTAATTTGCCCGTTACAAAAAAAGGTAAACCAACTAGAATGCAATAATTACCGCGGAATAGATTCAGGCGTGGACGTTCAACCATTAACCAGATCTTTACACTACGACAGATCCTCGAAAAAGCTCAAGAGTTTAACATAGATATGTATCATACTTTTGTCGATTTAAAAGCGGCATATGACAGTGTCTTAAGACCAAGTCTTTACAATTCTATGAATGAGTTAGGAGTTCCAAAAAACCTCATATGTTTGATAAAAGTGACAATGGCGAAGATGCTATCAGCAGAAAAAATTCAAAACGACTCGCCAACCCCATTTGAAATAGGGAGTTAAGGCAGGGAGATGCGTTGGCGTGTCAACTTTTTAATGTTGCTTTAGAAAAAGTTGTACGAGACGCTAATTTAGATAGCAGGGGAACAATATTTAATAGATCAGTCCAAATTCTAGCATATGCAGACGACGTGGACATTATAACAAGAACCAGGGCGAGAACTGTGGAAATCCTAACCGAGATAGTAGCAGCAGCAGAACGAATGGGGTTACATATAAATCAAAATAAAACCAAATTGATGGCGACTAATACAAACACAAGAGCTGGAAATGTTGACGAAAATTTAATTATCAATGACCAAAACTTCGAAGCACTCAAAGGGTTCATATATCTAGGGACATCGATTAACCCCAAGAATAACACATCTTAGGAAATAAAAAGGCGAATAGTAATTGCGAACAGATGTGCGAAAGGTGCTACGCAAGATATTCGGAGCGGTCTGTGAGAGCGGAATATGGAGGCGTAGATATAACTTTGAACTGCAGAATATCTACAAGTATACGTTTGGTGGTAAAGATATTACCAATATAATAAAGCTAAACCGCCTGCAGTGGGCAAGACATGTAGCCCGGGCCCCCGAATCGAACATGATAAAAAATATTCTAACAGCGCAACCCGTGGGAATGAAAAGAGGGGTAGACCAAAGCTGAAGTGGATGAATGGGGTAACACAAGATGCAAAGAAGATCGGAGTCGACAACTGCAAAATGCATGCAAGAGACAGAACAGAATGGCGTAGAAAGCTTGAGAAGGTCGAGACCCTCTAAGGGATGTAGCACCAAGATGATGATGATGATGTAGAATTCATATTTCTAGATTAGATTGATCAGTTAAACTTTGACATTTTTCAGGTATTTGTATTATAATATCGTTCTATTTGATTTTTTTTAAACGATTTTAACAGCCACTCTATTCCTCACACATGTCTTAAATTGACTTATGCCACTTTCATTTTCACTGACTCAATTATAAATAGAAATACTGTATATACCGTATTATGTACTATTATATAAAGTATTCAATCTAAGAATCAGTCTAGAAATATTCATTAATTGTATGCTGAATTATTCCTATTACCATAATAATACTAGTGAATACACGACCACTCAAATGATTAAACAATGAAGAACTGAAAAAATCGTCAAGGGAGGTAGTACATAAGCGTTTGGTTACGGTATAATTTTTGCAGTGTAGTCTTCAAGCTGGAAATTATACGGTCTCTACTATCAGGTGTGCATTTGCATCCAGCCTAGGGGCAGTTCATTATTTTCTTGAGAATATTCAGGAAAAGTCCTATCGTGCAATCTCAACGCATAGCTAATTAGATTACGTTGTATCTGATTGTCACGAAAGATACTGTTTACAGGGTGGAAACAAATCAAATACTCACTTGAGAGTACTATTTTGACAGCAAAACATTTTTTTCGATTATTCGATTAAATTGTTACAAAAGAGCGTTCTGGTCTTTTAAGTCGGTATAGTAAGAGTCTACTATTCATGGTAAGTTTCTTAAGATATTGATCGGCGTTATACACCTATCTTAAGATGCCATGCTCAATTTTGAGTATTGGCATGTTCTCTGCATCTGTTGTGTAAGTGTACATAAGTATATGGGACCTACAGTTTAATGTCGACTCTGAAAAACTAAGAGTAGACGAATTGTACTATACAAAAGTCGCGACCTTGAGAAAACTTTTGAATTTTGTAGTGAGAATCGGACCCACATCATTCGGCATCCTAGCCATGTCATAATAATTTCAGTTCCCTTCTTAACTTATATTTTTCTTCTGTTTATATTAGACCTTAGACATTCTTGTCCGATCTTAAGGGTGTAGCCATATTTTACTGACTTTCTCGCCCTTGTATAAATTGTTTTCCTGGTGGTCTCATGCCTGTTTTACTTGCTAATCTCACTATGCATTCGTATAAAATGCTAGTTCTACTCCCATCTTCTTTGTCTTCCCTATCGTAAAATGTCCTGGATGTTACAGAGATCTCTTATTTCTCGTTTTTATTTATATTGTAACGTCACATGATTGTTATTTTTCTTCAAATAATTATTTTATTACAATTTAATCATTTAATAATTTTTTAACTTTCTGTTTTGTTTCACTATTTTCCTTCTAAAAATAGTTGGCGCTTAACTTTTCTTTTAACTAGGTGTACATTCTGTTTAATCACTATTCTTTAAATTAAATTTTCATTTATTTAAGTTCTATTTTCATTTCCCTTCGTAGTATATAAACTTTCATTTAATGCCAACTATAGGCAACGATCAGATCGCAGTAACCCTACCGTTGGCTTCATCTGGAATATCTGCAACTTTATTCGAAAAGGACGAACTGCAGGCTTGCCCTGAAATTACTATTAAACATACAAATCAATGAAATGCCAGATTGCAACATCGTCAAAAAAAGCACAATGGCAAAGATTTTATAGGTATGTAAATTAATCGTTTATGGCGAATGTACATTGGCCCCCATAAGAGGCCATTACAGACACTGGACAGAACTTTGAAAGATATTCTTGACAATTAAAACTATTTTTGGTGGAGCCATAATTATATTGTCAGACTGTTCCTTATTTAATAATTATTCTCCAATTAACTGCTGCGAACGAACTAAATGCATGCCTAACATCATCCAATTAGCATACTCTCATGATCATAATGAACTCTTTATCCTCCTCAATCCATATTCCTCTTTATGACTTTCCACAAACACCCTGGTGCCTATATATTTTTTTAATTTAGGATAATTTTAAGTAAAATGTATGTCATTCTTCTGCCTTAACTGTATTGCTAAACTATTTTTATTTTGTATTTAGAGTAAAGAAATTTTAGAATTAATTGTCTTGTCGAACTATGTAGTTCTGGTTTTAAAAAGCATTGTCTGAATAATTTTTTTCATCACAGTTTTAGTTAATATGTATTTGACTTTAATGTAACATAAATTAAATCAATGTATGAGTTATATGTCACTAATCTTCAAATTCTGAAACCTATTTCTTAGTTTTAGTGGTTTGTACCTCGCCGTAAAAACTTCCCAATAAGTTTTACCCCTATTCACTAACATCACATAATTTTACCCTATTGGCGACGTGCAAGTACTTGGAGGGGATACGAGAAACGATCGTGCGCGAGTAGCGGAGAAATCTTGCATTTTTTACTGCACATGTCATAGATTTCATAAATTCATATTGTCAATTGTCATATTTCATATTCGTTTGTTTATCTAAACTTTCTGTCATTGAAGAAAATGGGATTTAGGAAATGCTGTGTTATAAATTATAAAAATACAACAAAAAATTGTCAATTTAAGTTTTATTCGTTTCCAATTTCGAAGCACAAAGCTACTACAAAGAGAAAAGTGGATTTATATCATAAAAAGCATAAGTAACATAACCTAAATTACGCATTATTCTTGCACCCGATTTTAAAGTCAGTTTGAAATATATAATAAATAAAAAGTTCACTTTTAAGTGTAAATTTTAGTTTCATAACACTCACTTTTTAACCCAAAAATCAAGTTTAATGTTTAAATTTTAATTTTTTTGAAGGTTACAAAAATGCATCAAGTTCAAGTTTTTCTGAAGATGCATTAAGATATATTCGCTGTCCAAAAGTTTACAGGAAAAGAATTAATTGTTCAAACCAATATGATGATATCATGGGCTTAACTTGCTAATTTATGCCTTAGCATTATGTACGGTAATTTATTTTTCTTAATTCTTCCACATAATTCTTCCATTCTTTTTTGACATTTGCCACTACTAAAGCTTTTCCCTTTGAGTCAGTGCTTGGTTGAAAAGTTATTTGGTGATTTACTTTCTCAAATCCAGTTTTTATTATTGCATCCATATTAACAGTAATGCTGTAATTTAATAATATATTTATTTGTATTTACACTACATACAACGTTTACCTTTTAATAACATACTGACATAACCTCAATCTTACTTTTTCTTCCTATTCTTTTTTTGGGGCTACGTCCTTGACAGTTATCCGGTAACCTCGATCTAACATAAAAGCGCAATAAATTTTGCTGATTTACGACACCAGGTATAGCTGTTCCGAACTTGCACGGTTCCAATAATATTTTTAGGATATCAGCTAAATTATCAAACAGGTCAATTTTTAATATAATTGTAGGTTTCGAATCCAGCCTGATCTTCAATGAAAATGTAAACAAGGCTTACATTCTCAGACACCTTATTTAAAATCTTTTGAAAGACTTAAGAACATTAGTTGCAATTTTTTTAAGTGATACAAGAGTTTTGTTTTAAGCCATTAAAAATTATTTAATTTATTAAATTCTCAAGTTATTACATCCAAACTAATGATTGAAAATACGTAACAAATTGATAGTAAATACTAACAGACCTTACTAAAACATTGCTGAGTAATTAAAGCTAAATTTATTTTAATGTTAATATTTTCAAAATGATATTATTTCTTTTCTAGTAACATAGTCAGTTAACTCCATAAAAAAAGATCCAATAGAGTTAGGTCAAAAGATCTTGGTGGCCACTCTATGCTCATCGTATCCTAATGTAATATTACCTAATTCCATCTGTCTATTTCCGATATCCCATCCTTGTTTTTATTATTTTTATTATGTGAAGCTGGAATTTACATTTTGTCAAAATCTATAAAACCGTTTTTCCGATCTACTTCACAAAACGTAAGCTACAGTTCTAGTATAAAGCAGAACTGTTTTAGTAGAAGATTACTTAGTAAAGAATATAAGTAGCAAATTAATATGTTAAAACCATTTGAAATAAACAACTTACAATACACGACAATGTTGCAGCATGATACGTAGTTTGGTTTCCAAAGGAATTTTCTACTCCTAAATCATTATTCAGTACTAATTCAAAAAAGGAATTTCTACTTATCTCCTCGTTTACCAAACAGTTTTGAAAATTTACCTTAGCAGACTACTCAAACGAAAACGGCGGACAGAATAAACCTTATAATGATAAAATAATTGTATTATAATTAAACAGCGTCTGCAAAAGTAGAAAAGAGAAATTCAAACCTATAAAACTGAATATTAATTTGAGAGAAAGATAGATAACATTAAAATACAAAAATTGCAACATTAGGAATAAAAACTTCAAGGTAAGAAAATTTATGCAAAGATGGTTGTCTAAATTGAGAGATCTCATAAGCTTTTTAAAAATCTACCCTTCATTGTTTTATAATTATAATGTTAAAAGTATACAGGACTTACCATCATCATATTCTTCTGAGTCCTCATAATCCTCCAATAGCGGACTATCTGCTCTCGTTACAGGATCGTCACTATGTATGAAAGGTACAGCAGGCGTTGGAGCCGGTACTGGATGCCGCCCTTCTGGACCTGGTGAAAAATGAAGCTCAACAGCGCCGTCCAAGGGAAATCTAGGATCTACGAACAGAAATTAAGAGTTACAGATAAACACTAAAATCAATTTTAAGGAAATTGTTTAGGAATTTATTAATCTAGAGAGTCAGCTGCACATTTCCAAGTGTTTTTCGTGTTTTTCTAAGACTGAAATTAGAAAACAATATTCACTATTTTTTCTATCTAATATACGTATTCGTTATCCCCTATTTTTTAAAACAAGACCTCCTAGGAACTCGAGATCAGCCTTTTGCTTTTAATTGACTTATTTTTGTTTTCAAAATAATACTCTATAATATAATATATCATATATCATACTCTATAAATGACAGAAGACATTACAAAGGAAAAGAAGATTTGACAGACGGAAAAAAGAGATTTGACAGCTACGGAAAAGAAGAAGATTTAACAGATGGAAATAAAGAAGAATTGAAAGCTAAATCATTTGTAAATTAATGTGGATTTAAAAGTAGCGTATGACTAATAACTACTACCGAATAAAATTAGAACTATGACAGTATGTAATGCAGATTCTTTCGACGTAATGGAATCGGCCATATTGGGGCGTGACATGGTGCCCAAAGCGACTAATACTCTGATCCATCGGACAGACGAAACACACAACCCAGACACAGGCTGTGGGGCTATGCATTGTACACAGACGGATCTAAAACTGTAGAAAGGTCTGGTCTAGGAATATACAGTAGTGGTGGAAATATAAACCTTTCGATTTCACTAGAAGAATTCACTTCTGTATTTCAGGGAGAAATTTTTGAACTGTGGAATATATCTTAACATGAGGGCTTTCGAACTGAAGCGGGAAATGTATATTTTACGAACATTCACTAATCGGGTACAGAAGTACTGCGGAACAGAAGTGGAAATTAGCTCATAATCGTTTGGCTTCCTTACTGGACATATTAATAAACGCCTGCATACAATGGGCCTATTCATGTAGACTTTAGTTACATACTTTGTAGCTAAGAAGCTGAAACAGTCAATCACTCCAATCCATTAGACCTAGTTTTTGTTTCTTGCAGTTGTATCTATATATATAGCGAGTGTTTGCAACTTTAATTTTGTCGCTTCTCGCATCCCAATCGCCATAATTTCTTATCGGCCCAGTCTCCTTCTTGAAGACCTCTATTTTCCATTTCTATATGAATATTGGATATCCATTTCTTTCTTGGCCTTCCCCTTTTATTTCTCTGTGTAGGTCTCCAGTTCCAAACCTTTCGTGGTATCCTTTCTTCGTTCATCCGTCTCAGGTGTCCATACCATTTTAATTGTTTTTCGGCTATCGTATCCATTATTGTGTTCTTTACTTTCATTCTCTCTCTTATGTTTTCATTTCTTATGTGGTCAAACAAAGTTAACCCGGAACATCTCTCCAGTACATCATTTCCGTTGAGAGGAGTTTTTGTGACATATTCTTGTTAAAGACCCACACTTCTGACCCATACGTCAGCACCGGCTGAATCATAGCCTTATATATATTTTTCTTTGTTTTCTTCGTTAAAGTTTTATTCCACAGGATCGGATGTAGTGTTTTTATCATGTTTTTTCCTTTTTCCTATTTTTCTTGTTATATCTTTGTCGTCTCTCCGTCTTCGCTTAGTGTAACTCCGAGATATTCGTACTGGTCAACGTTTTTAATTAATCCGCTTTCTATTTCCATGTCTTGACCGATGCCTCCTATATTCATGTATTGTGTCTTTTCGGTATTAACCTCTAATACCCATTTTTTGAATTCGCCTATTAGTTTGTTTATCATGTACGTCATATCTTGTAGGTCCTCGGCAAGAACTACCTGGTCGTCTGCGAAGAGGATTGTGTATATAGGAGTGTCATTTACCCATATGCCCATTGGGCTGCATTTTCTCATCCAATATTTTAAAGCATTACCAAGATATATTTTAAATAGGGTTGGGGAGAGACAAAAGCCCTGTTTGACACCCTTTGTTTGGGTGAAACCCTTGGAAATTTGGTTTCCAACCTTAATATAAGCTTGGTTATCTTGATATAGCTTTTTCACGGCATTTATATATACTGCATTTATACCTGCGTTTTCCAATGTTGTTCATAGTCTCTGCAGTGGTCCGGAGTCAAACGCTTTACGAAAATCTATAAAAGTGGCATGAAGTTCTAGTCCTCTTGCTAATCTCTTTTCTATTAGATGTTTGAGAGTAAATACATTGTCGACACAAGATCTCCCTTTTCGGAATCCACTTTGTTCTTCGATCTCTGTGGCTTCTTTTTCTATTCTGGCTTTCAGAACTCTTTCATACAGTTTGCCAGTGGATGACGTAATGCTGATACCTCGGTAATTACTGCAGTCATTCCTGTTTCCCTTTTTGTAGATGGAGTTTATGTACGAGACTTTCCAATCTCTTGGGATACTTTCTCCTTGTAGGCACTTGTTAAACATTTTACAAAGCAATTCTAATGTCAGTTGTATCAAACAGACTTCGCACATTCTGTCTTCCCGTGTCTTAATTTAACTTTGTGTGCCACATCTTCTAATGCTCCTAGTTTAACTTTTTGTGGCAGCCGAGGGACTTTTAACATTCCTCTACTAGTAAAGGAATGGATGATTACTGACGACACTAAAAATGGATTAATTTGACAGTGTACAAAGAAAACGAATACCTAAAATAATAAACGTTTTTCATAGCTTTATAAAAAAATACGCGTTTAAAAGAGCAAAGTCATACTCTTAATGAACACAAGTACACTGCATAAACAAAGCTTAAAAACACAAATTAAACAAAGAAAATGAAAAGCAGAAAAAGCTGTATAGTGTAAATAACATGTATGAATACCGACACAGAAAAATATTTAGGGAATGATGCCTGGTAGGACAGAAAGAAATGAGGATTAGAATTGGAAAGTAAATTTCGTGAAATGATTCGTTTAGTTTCAATTAAAATAGCGTAAACCAATGCTAGTCGCGTTTATACTACAGATCTATAGAATAAAGTTATACTAACCGTTACAAGCAAAATCTAACTCTTGTCTAGTAAAACTCAAGGTGTGATCTGAAACAGCGCACGTATGGAACTGACAAGCAAAAATAGTTTCTCTTCCTACTTCTCCCCGGTGGTAACATTTGATGAGAATATCTCCTCTAAGTTGTAAGCCTTTTCTTCCATCTCCTGTGACATTCACTGTGAATTGGCTGATGCCACTTGATATAGAATAAATGCCTGAAATAAAAAAGTACATTTAAAAAATGGTATAAAAATTACTATAAGTGTGATTATAAAAGAGCTGATTTGGTTTTCTTTTGATTTAGGTTATTTCTGGATTACTTCATTCATTGCCAACTTTTTGTCATGCGTGATGTAAAAATTGCGTCATTAGCCACAATGTATCTAATGGACTCACTATTCAATATCATTTAATTAAAATATATAAATAAAAGTAACATCCTATATGGAAAATCAAATATATGAACTGAAGTTAATTCTCATTTTTTCACAAAGAAAATACAAAGATTAAAGACACTAACAATGTTCAAAAGGAACACATGCTAGGACATAGCATCCAGAGTATGAATAATATGCCACATGCTCACCTGAGCAGTCGCCTACCAACTAAAACCCCATCTTCGGACAAGGCACCTCCGAAGGAGAGTCTTGCGCAGACTGGAAGCAAAATTCTATAGAAAAACTGGAAACAAGATTTTTAGCTAAAAGCGATAAGAACTACTTTAAAAATATGACAATGACATGACGCATAACGGGATTGGCTGGACCTTTGCGTGAAAATGGTGTTAACTGTGTTATGTTTCATTGCATTATCCATCAAGAGGCTCTCTGCGGAAAGATAATTAAAATCAACGATACTATGAAAACTGAAGTACAGATAGTAAACAGCTTAAGAGGAGGAAACAGAGCTCAGCGACACCGAAAATTCATCTCTTTCTTGGAGGAATTAAATACTGAATATAAGGACGTCCCCCTACATTCAGAGATACGCTGGTTGAGTGTAGGTAAATCCCTTGGAAATTTTTTTTCTTTAAGAGATCTTACTGTTTTTTGAAAAGGAAATTGTTATTAACACGGACGTATTTATAACAAAGCTTAAGAACAAAACATTTCTTCGTGAATTGGCATTTTTAACAGACATTACCTCTCACTTGAACACATTAAACCTACAACTACTCCAGAGGAAAAATAAGACAGCATCACAGTTGGTTGGTCAAATCGAGACATTTCGCAAAAACTTGATCTTTTCGAGAACTGCATGAAAATAAACGATCTCACACATTCTCCTGCGTGTTTCGAAATAAATCAAAAAGAAACCATGGTCGATTTCTCGAGGTTTGCAAAAGTTCTTACAGAAATAAAAAGAGAATTCGATGAAAGGTTTTCGGAATTTGATGCACTAAAACCCGATCTTGAGCTTCGTAAGAAGTTAATGGGAGTCAACATCCAGAACCAATCATCAGACTACCAACTAGAGCTATGGAAACTACAGTCGGATTCGTTTTTTCAACCTAAGAAAAATGAAGACATTAGTACCTTTTGAAAGTTAGTCTCCAAGGATCGTTTTTCTAAACTTCGTAACTTTGCGTTGACACTATAATCAATGTTTGGTAGTATGTATATATGTGAAAGAACATTTTCTGCTTTAAAGCATATTCAATCTAAAACACGTAATCGCCTGGAAAACGATTCTCTGGTGTGATAGATAGATATAGATGTGCAAAAGTTAGTAGAGGGTACACCCTTGCCTCAAATATCCCATTGATTTTTTATTTTATGTTAAATTTTAAACATAACATATACATTGTAAACCATAATAAAATACTTTAAACTTAAATTAAAAACTAAAATTTTTTAAAATAAATTTTTTTGAACGAGTCGAGTTCTTTGGCCCTTCATAATAATTTCAAATTTAATACGGCCCGCAGCGTCTAATAAGGCATTGCCAAATAAGTATCCGCGGATCAACTGAGGATATGACATTAGGCAGCAGTAATGTCATTACTGGATTAAGGCTGTGGGAAGTAAAAATCCTGTAGGTTTATTCCAGATACTTACAGGCGTCACTCACATTATGAGTTAAGCGGCTGTGATACTGCGATGGGGAAGGTAACGGGAAACCACCCCATTATGATCCCTAGTAAAGTTATCATGGAATCAATGAGTGTAACGAATACTACTGATCATGGGCTGCGGAACACAAGATCCGGCAGGGGAAGGAATACACAATCAAACCACAGGGCTTCCCAGGTCGCTAGCCAGCGAAATCCCTGTGAGGAAAACATCACTAGACATATGATGAAACTGAAGAATCCATACAAAGTGGCTACATGGAATGTAACAACCTTATATGAAGCCGGTAAGTTGAGAAATCTACTCTCCGAAATGGACAGATTAAACATTACTATCATGGAGGCGAGTGAAACAAGATGGCCAAACAAAGGGAATTTCAGTGCAAATGGTTACGCCGTTTATTTTTCTGGAAATCAAGACCATATGCATCGAAATGGAGTAGCAATAATTATCAAACAGCATATTAATAAGTATGTCACTAACTTCATCCCAATATCAGACAGAGTAATTTTAATACAGCTGAATGCTAAACCTGTAAATATAAATATCATCCAAGTTTATGCTCCCACTGCTGACGCAGATGAGCAGAATATTGAAGAATTCTACCATCAAATAGAAGAAGTGCTAAAAATAACAAAGAAACACGAAGCAATAATAATTATGGGTGACTTTAACGCTAAAGTTGGACAGAAGATGACGCAGGCATCACCGGAAAGTTTGGCTTGGGAGAGAGAAATCAAAGAGGTGAACGGCTAATAGAATTCTGCCAAGAAAATGACTTCGCCATTACAAATACCTGGTTTCAACTTCCAGAAAGGCGTCTTTACACGTGGAAATCCCCTCAAGATGGACATCAAGGCAGAATAGTACGGAATCAAATAGACTACATCCTAATAAACCACCGATTTCGAAACAATATTAAAGATGTAAAAACTTACCCCGGCGCTGACATAAACTCAAATCACAATTTACTCTGCTCCAAAATACAAATTAAATTGAAGAAATTAACAAAGCCAACTAAGCCTTGTAAGATATATCTCGACCCCCTGAAAAACCCTCAAACGCGCGAACACATAACACAGCAAATAAATAGTAAAATACACAGAATATCAAATATACCAAACGAAAACAGAACCATTAACGAATGCTGGTATGCCATTCAAAACTCGATTTTAGAGAACGTACAAGAGTCTTTGAAAACACCTACCATGTTGGCAAAAAATGAGTGGATGACACAAGAAATTCTAGATCTGATGGAAGTTCGACGGCAACACAAAAATAGAAATATTATCGAATATCGTGAAATTAATAAACGCATAAAAAGAAAAATTAAGCAAGCCAAAGAATCCTGGCTTGAGAATTTATGTAAAGAAATAGAAGACCTCCAAAAAAAGCATGACAGCTTCAACCTGCATAAGAAACTTAAATATACTGCCGGAATTAGAAAACAGAAAAATGCTCACATACTTAAAAGCGCGGACGGAAAAATTTGTGATCACGAACAACAGTGCAAAGAATGGGAGAGATACATCACTGACCTTTTTGACGATGCTTCTAGGGAAAATGCTCCAAATACTGCCTATGACAACCAGTTGGACAGAGGTCCCAATATACTGAATTCGGAAGTCGAAAAGGCAATACAGCAAGCCAAAAACAATAAAGCACCTGGACCAGATCAAACCCCTGCCGAACTACTTAAACTTTTGGATGAGGAAAGCATTGCCTGCTTAACCACTTTCTTCAACAAAATTTACAACGAAGGAAAAATACCAGATGATTGGTTAGAGTCACTGTTTATAACATTACCAAAGAAAAGCAGGCCCACCAAATGCAGCGATTTTAGACTAATCAGTTTGATGAGTCACACACTGAAGATACTCTTACGAATTATACAAAACCGAGTATTCCTTCTATGCGAAAGTAAGATGGGTGATAAGCAATTTGGATTTAGAAACGGTCTAGGAACTAGAGAGGCACTATTCTGTATGCGCGTTCTATTACAAAAAAGTTGTGAATTCCGAAAGAATGTTTATGTTTGTTTCATCGACTTCGAGAAGGCGTTCGACAGAGTCCAACACAATACACTTTTCGACTGCCTACGGGCAGCAGGACTTGACCACTATGATATAAGACTGCTGAAATACTTATATTACAATCAAGTAGCCTCTATCCAAATTGGAGACAGTCCCACTGAAAAAATACCCATCAAACGTGGAGTACGGCAGGGTTGTGTTTTGTCACCCACTCTTTTTAATCTGTACTCTGAAGAAATCTTTAGGGAGGCTTTGGATGACAGACAAGAGGGAGTAAGACTAGGTGGAGAAGTAATCAACAATATTAGATACGCTGACGATACAGCCATTCTTGCAGAAAGTTTACAAGATCTCCAAACATTACTAAATCTAGTCAGTGAAGCAAGTTATCGGAGAGGCCTAAAAATCAACATTTCAAAGACAAAGTGGATGGCAGTTGGAAAGATCCATATAGATCAAGGTCTGCTTTCTCTTAATGGAGAAGAGATAGAAAGGGTAAATCATTTCAAATACCTTGGCAGCTGGTTAAATGTAAATTGTGACTCTGATGAAGAGATAATATCCAGGATCGAAATATCACGTAAGGCTTTTATGACCTGGAAACCAGTTTTATGCAACAGAAACCTGTCAATGAACATTCGTAAGAAGGTCCTGAAATGTTATGTGTGGTCGATCCTATTGTATGGTTGTGAGACATGGACGTTAAAAACCACAATGCTAAACAAGTTAGAAGCATTCGAAATGTGGTGCTATAGACGAATCCTAAAGATATCGTGGGTTTCGCACACTTCCAATGAAGATGTTCTTCAAATGATCAACTCAGAACGTCTGCTCATAAACATCATAAAGAGGAGAAAAACAGAATACTTCGGCCATATAATTAGAGGACCCAAATACCATTTACTTCGCCTTATAATACAAGGAAAAGTGGAAGGAAAGAGATGGATTGGTCGAAAGAAACTTTCATGGCTGCGTAATATTAGACAATGGTGTGGTTTCACAGTAGAAGAATTATTTCGCGCAGCAGCCGACAGAGAAAGGTTTCAGGAAATTGTAAACATGATGACGGCCAACGTCTGAATACGGACACGGCACCCAAAGAAGAAGAAGCAGTGTCTAAAAGGTTGGACCACACTGGTTTAGGTAATGGACAGAAATGAATTTCGAATAAGTGTAAGGAACAGCGACTACTGAAAAGGGAAAAGCTGAGCTAGAAGAAAAAGAAGATTTATCATCACATAATTCTCTTTTACATAAATTCATAATCTCATTTGTGATTAAATTTTCTATTGTTAGTAGATCCATTTCTTCTAAAATAAATATTAAGTAGGATCTTTTGGCAAATGATTATATTATATAAATCTTCTAATACGTTCGTAGCTTCATGTTCAGCTGCTGATAAATCGTATTTTTACCTGGGAGAAAATATAGTTAAAATATTAGGCGAAAAATACTTAATGTGTGAAGTTTGTGTACGTAATTTCTATATTACCGTTTATTTATTACTATGTTCAGTACTTTAAATTACCTCAAAATCGTTATATTGGTTTTATATAACGTAATTATAACGAAAAAGCAAATATGAGCAATAAAAGCTTGTAATATACGCAGGAATTCACATTATTCGTTTTTATTTAAATCGTAATTTAAAATCTAATGTATTGTAACTTAATATGACGAGATGAAAATGTGCATAAAACATCTACAGTGACACCACATGTGCTAATCGTCTAGTAAACACAATTAATCGTTGACATTTTGCAACCAAATACAACCGAATAACGTAACCAACGAAGCGAATTTAAATCCACGTACATTATTCAGTCTTTATCGGTTTAGAAAATCGTGAGGATTTATTTGTGTGGCGCTAAAGCTGCTGTCAATCATGCTTCGTTTATCAAACAAAGCGAAGAAAATAAAAGGACAAGAAGAAACACGCGACTCTATTATCGCACTCAAAGAGCACGAAATGTTTTACCCTGTTTTTCAAGCGGTTTTTCACTTTAGTAAAAGATTGAAACTTGTAATATCCGTTATTACATAGAGCTATTAAACATGATTAAACATTCAAACTGAGGTAGCATTAAATTTTTCCCAACAATATTACCCTGATTATAAGTTTGTGTTACTGAGATTATTAATTATTATTGTTATGTAGTTTTTTAAATTATTAATTATTGTTAAAAATAATTTAAAATATTAACTGGCCACTTGGAATCACCATTTCAACATTCAGCTGCTGCGCACTGTTAGAGGACCTTTTGTTTAAGAAGGGATATGTTTTTAAAAGAAGGAGAACAGATCTAGATCGTTTTCAGCAATGTATTTCCGACATACTTAGTAGTTCTGAAACAAAAAATAATATAAACGACTTAAATAATATATTAATAAATGCCTTACTGGAAAATTAAAATAAATTCTGTCCTAGAACTCAAAACGAAGAGAAGATTAGCCAAAATACCAAGCAACTAAAGCAGAGAAGAAGAAAAATGAGGAGCGAGACGGAAACTAAAGCCAACGAACTACAAAAATGAAATAAAGAAATATTCAAAGACACTCGAAAATATAACCAAGAACAAATCGAACATACCACTGAGAACAATAGAAGTATGAAAGTATTGAAACTAAAAAGACTAAGAACGGGGGCAAGGCAGATAATACAGATTAAAAATAGAAATCGTCATCCTACAACCAATAAAGAAACAACCCTTAAAATAGTTGAAGACTTCTATAGGTTATTCCACGAATATACGACTGTTTGGAATTATTGCTACAACGAATATTTTACTGTACAAGTAGAAGTATGAAAGTAAATTGGTCTAATTATTATTCCATAAAAAAGGATCTTCTATTACTATGACATATAACTAAAATTATTTCAGTTAATAGATGTTCAGATAGACGCAAAATTTATTGTGAAAATTAATCCGAAAATAACAAAAAAAATTATGTAAACGCTTCTACAAATAAATACAATGACCTCTATGAAGTTAAAATGTGTTTATCAGCCATTTGGGTTGGATTTCGGTGAAATGTAAACACCAAAGAGGCGAGCCGGGTATCTTTATTACTTTATTACTAGGTACTACAACGGTAATAAAAAGAAATATATTATTCTTATAATAAATAAAAAAAAAATTGGCAGAACGATGGTTCAGAAACCAGAAAAAGAATCTAGTATTCCACTTTGTTAGTTTTTGGTTTGCTTTGAGTGGATATACTCTTAAAAGTTTCGAAAGTAACGGGTATAACATGGCGGCTATTGATAGTTAAAGTACCGAGTAATTACAGATATTAAAAAGGAACGAAAATTTACATAGTTTCATAAATCGCCGACTGATTTTAGTTTTAAAAACCGTCCGTATAGAGGTGTCCGGTGAAGAGACGTGTCCGTTAAGAGAGAGTTTAGTGTAGTGTATTTGTTTGTAATGGTGATAAGGAGAATAAGAGTAAGAGTAAGTTTTTTTTGTTATTTTAATACTAATTGAATATTGGACTAAATAAATTAAACTACTTAATCACTTAAGTATTGTTACACTTTGTTTAAATCACTTAATTCAAAAAAAAACTTGTTTACAATACTAAAGTCAATGAGAGTAATTATACGAGTATTCGCTGTGAGTTTCGCCGGTAGCGCTCTCTCGCGGTTTGAAACTTGTACTTTTCTTGTAAAATCAGTGTAAATGAAATATGACAAAACGAGAAAAATAGATATTTATTTAAAAATACAAAATAATGAACTGAAATATTATGGTAAACTGATTAATGAACGAATACACAGAATTAATAGTAAAAGTAATTACGCCTTGTTATTTTATTCATCATAATTATAACATTTAAGATATAAGTTCTTGCGACTGGATGACTACTTACGCAAGAGGTCATTGAGAAAAAGAAGAAGTTTATATGAAAATATTTAATGGTTAAAGCAAATATTTAAGGTTATAGACGCTTAAAAGGTTACCTTTACCTCTGTAACGTTGTAATTCTTGTTTTTATTTTACATTTTTATTCTGTTTTTGCTCAGTTATTTTTTGTGTGCATAGGCCTTAGTGCTTAGATATCAATTTGTGTTAATTCTTCTTCTTCTTCTTTCGTTTTATGGCCTCCACCTCTTAAATTTGTTTTAATTTTATCAAAATGGATATTAAACATTATACTGGTTTTAAGTCTATATCACATGATATCCCATTTCAACCAGCTACACCAAAAAAGGGAAAAGGTTTAGTGGATGCAGGGCGTGTACGCAATGTTTCAAAATATAATAGCTTTTTAATTTTACACCATACAAATATCATGTTTGCATTATAGGTTATTTACTTATTTTTCTCGTTGATAGCAATAATCCATTTTTCTCTTTGAACTATTTTATGCTTGGCAACAGGAAATGAATAAAATTTACAATGACTGTTGTACCCAGTATTTTTACATGTATCATATATTTTTCTTTTTGAAAAATCCATATTCGCCATTATTTGAATGTTTACAAGTTAAATGCACAAAACTGCCACTAACAGCGTTGGTGAAAACTGTCAAATCTACTCATCGGCTCACAGCGAATACATTAAAATCTGAATTACAACTATTCTATAAACTATCAATTCTATATTTAGATCATAACTTCATATTTAAATCTAAGGTGTATATCTGTCATAAATTATTTTAAAAATGGGGAGAATTTACTATTGTACAATTCAGCACATTGGACCATTTAAGTCGACACCTTAAAGCGAATTTAAAACAGTCGTATATTCGTGGAATGGAGTATACAAATTGTTGTACAAAAGCCAACACAAAGCACATAGCAGAGAAGATCAAGTACCAAAACTATTAACAAGGCAATTTTTTTTTAAGTTTTTGAATTTTTTATTCTTATTAAAATTAAATTCTTAATTTGCAAATAAAATTAATTTAAAATTTTGTTTATTATTAAATAATACTCAATTGGGAACTTTTAAACGTATTTAAACGCCAGCTTTTAGGAAAAATTAGTGTCAGGTTAATTTTGCACACCAGTGTATATAAATATGTATTTCTACCAATTAAAACTAGTTACAACTTACCAGAAGTATAAACAGGAGTGTGCCCCTCGTACAATTTTAAGAAAGCCCTACATCCACCTTGATAGAATGATGGGGCACCTAACACCGTGACGTGTGTGAGATACATCGGTGCAGCATTTACTTTGATGTGGTGGGAAAGTAGTCCGGCAAAGTAGTCAACATATCTGAAAACAAACAATTAATAAACATTAAGAATATTATCCTAACTAATAAATAATCAAAAAGATCAATAAACTCGACTAAAATAGCGTTTAAATTACTCGTGTTACAAAGGCAGTTTATATTAATAAAGTTTTTTTCGTTCTTCTTTAATCAGTAGTTGTCCATTATTTATACAATTGTTACTGAATTGATTCGCATGTTCAACTTCCTATTCATTTTTTGTCATCGAAACTTCCAGCCTGAAAGTCTCCTGTTCTGTGATAACTGGGCTCAAGTTTAAAGTATTCATTCCTTTTGTAAGCTACAATTAAATAAACTTATAAGAGTATTAATTGATCACCAAAATCTAAAGGAGACTACACTAACATTGATATTTGTTCATTCCCGACTATCGTTGAATCTGTACGCTGTACGAGACATTTTCTACTAAAATCTCTGGCGGTTGACTTCTAAATACATTAATATTTTAGTCTAAAACTACAAACTGAATTTTGTTTTAATATAAACTGCGAGGCATAAGTTAGGGATCTTCTTGTGCCTTGTCCGTTCCGAACGTTGGCAATCAACATGGCTATTCTGACTTTGTTTACGGCAGATCTGAATAGTTCAGCAGATGACAATCCGAACCATTGCCGCAAGTTTTGGAGCCACGAGTGTCTTCTCCTCCCTGGTCCCCTTCTGCTGTCTATTATAAGTTAGGGATATAGCTAAATATTAAATAAACAAAAATACAACAATTATACAACTGTATAAATCATTTAAGTCACTTATCTACATCAACAATTAACACTATTTTTTGATTTTTTTATTCATCGAAATAAATAATTAAATTAAATTAAATCTATAAGTTGTTTATAGTTTATTATCACATGAAACGAAACCGAAAAATCACTTGAAAAATCGAAAAATTACTGGGCGCTCTTTTTTAACTGGAATATTTGGAGGATGTCCACAGACAGGCGTACTATCTGGTGGTTATCGAAACTTTTACTCCGTCAAGACATTTCAGCAAAAAAGGGACTTTATTCATTCATTTCAATATTGTGAAAAAACTACGCATTATAGATAAAAATGTTCAACAGACGACTTTCTTGAAAGTACTTTCTCTTTAAAATGAGATTTTCTAAACTAGAAAATGTTTAAAATCCGTAAACTAATTTTTGAAACCAAATTCAGATTTTTGCTTTAATCTGTGCAAGGCAAAACAGACGTTGATAAAGATGTTAAGTATTAGAGAAGGAGAATGTAAAATTTGCATTCCACGACATATCTCCTCAACTAAGCAAAAATCCTTAGCGAATTGGTTTCTTGTACTTGTACAGAGTATATCGGAATAAAAAGAAAAAGACAGTCAAGTTTTGATTTCACGTATAGTGCGTCTGCGTATCTGCTTATACGTATTTCACCCTAATAGGGCTTGTCAGAACAGTTATTCACAGTCGTTGTGAACGTGAAAATAAATCTTTTCTGTCTTAGGAAGCAACTCTAACATGGCTTCGTATAGACGCAAATAGCGACATCTGATATTTAAATCCTTCTTCTTCTTCATGTACCATGTCCTTTCAGAACGTTGGTTACCATCATAGCTATTTTAATTTTATTCACTGCCACCCTAAATAGCATGCTTGTATCTACACCATACCAATCTCGCAAGTTCTTCAACCATGAGGTTCTTCTTCGTCCTGGACTGCGTTTGCCTGCTATTTTTCCTTGCATGATATTTTGTAGCAATCTATATTTGGGACCTCTCATTACATGTCCGAAATATTCCAGCTTTCTCTGCTTGATGCTTTTTATGATCTCAGTAGTCTTGCTGAGACGTTCAAGTATTATGGAGTTACGAATCTTCTCCACCCAGGAAACTTTTAAAATTCTTCTATAGCACCACATTTCGAAAGCCTCAAGGCGATTTAGATCGATTTTATTCACAGTCCAGGACTCGACAGCATAAAGTAAGAGAACACGTAGTAGCGAAGTAGGCGGATCCTTAATGCCAGTTTTAGGTCTCTGTTACATAACACCTTGGACATCCTTCTAAAAGCAGCTCTAGTCTGCTCTATTTTGGATCTAATTTCGCCCTGATTTTCTGCATTACAATTTAATTGCTGTCCAAGGTAGACGATTTTATCAACTTGCTCAAGTTTGGTATTATTTACATATATAGACGGTTTTATATATTCTGTTGTTTACTTATTACAAGTATTTTGGTTTTCCTTATGTTCAGATCAAGACCTGCCTCCCTACAACTCTCAACGACACTATCAAGTAGTGTTTGCAGATCTTCTTGACTAGAAGCTAGGAGTACAAATTATTGATGACTTCGCCGTTCACAAGTATTCCTTCTTGTTTTTCAGAAAGCGCTTTTCTGAAAATTCTTTCGGAGTAAACGTTAAAAAGCAGGGGTGACAAGAGGCATCCCTGCCGTCATCATCATCATCATTAGCCATTTTGCGTCCACTGCTGAACATAGGCCTCCCGTAAATAATTCCATTGCATCCGATCTTGAGCAACTTGAATCCAGTTAAACTGGATGCGCTTTAAATCGTCCGACCACCTTGTTGGAGGACGTCCTCGACTACGATAAGCATCGTGTCTAGGCCTCCACTGTAAAATTTTCTTTGTCCATCTTCCATCTCTGACCCTAGCAACATGTCCTGCCCAGTTCCATTTCAGGGTTGTAATTCTTTCAACTTCGTCCGTCACACCAGTTTTTCTCCTTACTATCTGACTCGGAACTCTGTCCCTGAGTGATATGCCCAACATTGACCTCTCCATCGCTCTCTGTGCCACTTGTATCTTATTAATTACTTTTCTGGTAAGTGTCAATGTTTCTGCTCCATATGTCAGAACTGGAAGTACACACTGATCAAAAACCTTTCTCTTCAAGCACATGGGAATAGCTGATTTAAAGACTTCCCTCAGTTTTCCGTAAGCTGCCCATGCCAGTCCTATTCTCCTTTTTAACTCTGTTGTTTGATTGTCTCTTCCCAATTTAATCTCGTGGCCCAGATACTTATAGGAATACACTTGTTCAATTTGCGTGCCATTAGTGGAAATGTTTGTTGCCAGTACCAGGTTGGTCATGTATTGTGTTTTGGAAAAATTAATTTTAAGGCCAACTCGTGCACAAGAGCTCTGAAGGTCTTGAAGAAGTTGGCATGCATGATCTACCTGATCTGCAATAAGGACTATGTCGTCTGCAAACCTCAAGTTGTTCAAAAAAATTCCCCATTTATCCCTGCCGTACTCCTCTTTTAATATTGAGAGCTTGTGATTCCACACCATCTACTAAAACTAATGTTGTTTGATTCCAATATAAATTTGCAATTATTCGAACATCTCTGCCGTCCAAGCCTATGTCTTTTAGAGCTTCGATCAGTATAGAGTGCTTAACACGATCAAATGCTTTTTGAAAGTCAATAAAACAACAGTATATGTCTACAGATATATCACGACATCTTTGAGCAAGTACGTTCATTCCAAACAGTGCCTCTCTCGTTCCAAATCCGTTACGGAAACCAAACTGAGTGTCATCCAGGTATTCCTCACATTTATTGTAGATACGACCATGTATTACCTTCAGAAAAATTTTCAATAAGTGGTTTAACAAACTGATGGTTCTATAATCAGCACAGGTTTTTGCTGTTGTCTTCTTAGGTAGAGCTATAAACAGTGAGTTAGACCAACCATTAGGTAGTTGTCCGCTGGTATAAATGGTATTGAAAAACGAAGTTATAGCCTCTAAAACATTGCTATCCTTTATAAGCTTATATATTTCAGTTGGAATTTCATCAGGACCAGTCGCTCTGCCATCTTTTGATGATTGTATGTCCTTTATAACCTCACAGCGTGTTATTAGGGGTCCGTCGCAGTTAGTAATATCGGGAGGTGAACTACTCCTATCGTCTTCGAATAGGTTCGTGACGTAATTTTCCCATTCTTTAAGTTTGTCCTCTACTTCGAATATTACTTTACCATTTTCATCCTGTAGCAATGCATTTTGTTTCTTATTGAAGATACCAGCCGCTTCTTTTACTTTTTTATACATGTTAAACGTGTCGTATCTTTTTTCGAGTTCTTCAATGTCATGACACTGTTTGGCTAGATGTTGACTCTTTGCTTCTCCTATTTTACGTCGAATTTCTTTTTGTATGCTATTGTAAAGTGTTTCGTTGGTTTTTGCTAGTCGCCGTTGTTCCATCAAATCCAGTATATCATCTGTCATCCAAGCCTGCTTTTTTGGCTATTTATTATTATTATATTATATTATTAATATTTAAATCCGTAAACTAATTTTCGAAACCAAATTCTGTGTCTACTAATATGTCTCTAATAACATCTTTATCAACGTCTGTTTTGCCTTGCAATTCTTAGAAGGCACAGATTAAAGCAAAAATCTGAATTTGGTTTCGAAAATTAGTTTACGGATTTTACTATCAGATGTCGCTATTTGCGTCTATACGAAGCCATGTTAGAGTTGCTTCCTAAGACAGAAAAGATTTATTTTCACCAGAATGACTGTGAATAGCTGTTTTGACGAGCCCTATCGGGGCGAAATACGTATAAGCAGATACACAGACGCACTATGCGTGAAATCAAATCTTTTTTTTTAAATTAAACCCGAAAGTAAGCATGCTATTTAATTGTATATAATTAATAAAATAAACAATAAAAATATTTAAAACACATTTTATAATGTGAGTTTTTATGTGATTACTATAGCTCGACAAGCGAGAGCTGGCGGGTTGCGCGTAGAACAAATTGAAAAGTGGAAGGAATTGCTCCTTTCTATTGCAGTCGGCTAGGAGTTCACATCGTGTATAACCGTTTAAGTACCTATACTATATACCTATAATCGCGATTAAGTACCTCTCCTATCTCTCTTAGAATAATTCCTTTTATATTTTCGCGCAGCTCACCCGCCAGCTCTCGCTTGTCGGATTATACATTTGCGCAAGATGGACACAATTGGTCAAGTAATTTTAAATTAGTCAAGTAAACAATTATATTTGTTTATTCTATTTGAGAGAACAAAGGTCATTTTTAAATGCCTATACAGGTGCTTTGTCAATACTTAGAACATTTTTGTGGTCTGATTATTTTTGTAAGGTCTCAAATTTTCATTATGGGAATTGTATGTATATGGGAATTCGTTTTCTAAGAAACACTGCTAGTTCAATGTGATAATAATATAATTAACTGAAAAAATATCCAACTATCCACACAAACTGAAATAAGAACGCGATCCATCGCTGGTTACACTTTAAGTAACCGAAAAAAAAAAAGATTATACGAGATGCGGCATCGTAGATGGGCTAGATATAAACGCAGAAAGTGAAAACTATGGTAAGAGTCCCAAGAAAAATATCAATTACTTAAAATCTGCCGATTACGTCGTAATAATAGCAAAGAAAATAGCAAACAAAGTGTACTAACGTTGAACGTTAAAAACGGAATTTATAATAATTGCAATAAGACAACGACAAGAAGTTATTATATGCAAGAAGACTGCAGGTAGAAAAAGTTAACCAAATATGTGGGTACAATTGTAAATGGAAAAACGATTATTATAAGAAATATGGATGATGATTGACAAACTAGACCAGTATTACATAAGTGATTGATTCGAAGGTTACTTGATGGCAGTTCATTTTATCTAACAAAAAACACTGAAAACTTTTGTTTACATAGTTTAGAAAATATGAAGAAAAAGATTTAGTTTCAAAGATCAATTTATAGAGGAATGTAAATGGGGTACATAAGAAATTATATACGATAATGTGACTACTGAAATAGAAAAATTTGTAATTCTGTAATTTGTGCAGTTATATATTTGTATTTAAATCAATTAAAAAAACTTCTCTTACCTTTTATTGGAAGGTAAAATAAGAGGTCCAACATTATCTTCTAAAAATTTTCGCATTGAGAATCTATCTAAGGCTTGTTCGGCGCTGCCACATATGCTGGAGTAATGCATGTACGATGATACTATGACGCCTAGTTTATCCTTGTTTCCTCTAAAACAAAATTACAATATTACAAATAACATACAATAAGCACAAATAATAGCACAAAAAATACGTTGTTAAAATGTGTGTCTGTGTTAATCATTTATTGGATTTTGACTGTACAAACATGACGAAAAACCAACAGTATGGTGGAGATATGTAGATGATGTGTTTTTACAATAGGCGAGCGGTTTACCCCTATAAGCAGAGCATCAACCTACTAAAATTCTTTTTGCATTTCTAATGCATCAAACCTTTTTTATTCGATTCTATATATGTTTTCAAGATGAAATGTATTTTTTTTTAATTTTACAAGTGGGCCGGCAATTGTTATTAACAAATAACTTATACAAAAAAGCAATTTCACCGAATTGTTTCGGAATCAATTTTTTTAGGTGGATCTCGTCAAAATAAACACTTTTTCTTTCCTGATAATTTTTCGAAAAATGCTTCCTTTTAGTAAGTACACACTTAGCGGTAGACTGCTCGAAAGGCATATTCGAAATATTTGGGTCCACGTTTTTAGCAAGATAGAAAAAAATTATCCTTGTCAAAATATTCTAACTTGTACTCGACGGTTTAAAGATTATAAAGCTATTTGTAGAATTGCAATTCATTTAGTAGTTTTTTAGAAAAAAAATCCCAAAAATCACTAATTAAGGCATGTTTTCAACAAAAAAATGCAAATAACTCGAAAAGGAAGCATTTTTCGAAAAATTATCAAGAGAGAAAGTGTTTATTTTGATGAGATACACCAAAAAAATTGATTCCGAAGCAATTAGGTGAAATTGCTTTTGTGTATAAGTTATTTGTTAATAACAATTGCCGGCCCACTTGTAAAAATTAAAAAAAAAATACATTTCATCTTGGAAAAATATATAGAATCGAATAAAAAAGGTTTGGTGCATTAGAAATGCAAAAAAAAAATTAGTAGGTATATTCTGTTTCTAAGCGTCTTTTAAGGGGTAAACCGCTCGCCTACAATGAATCAAATTAATCACGAAAAAAAAAGACAACTCACTACCTTTTTTTTATGTGTTAATCACAAATGGGGATACGGGACATGTATCCAAATTTTACAGAAAACCAATTCTCACCAACAGATATTTAGATTGTCACCTCAAACCACAACATCAATATCGAAAAGATACTCATAAATCATTATATGAAGATCTCAAAACACCTGCTCCAATAAAAACGAAATTCAGGAAAAAAAACCTGATAACAAAGGTCTTAACAAAATTAATTATCCATTGTTAAGCTTATAATAATTATAACATGAAGATTGTCATGACTCATGACTATCCATGCTTACAAGAAGGGATCTGAAGATAACAACACTACTTACCATATGTAAAGGTAAAGGTCTTATCAGAAAAAAAAATTTATCCCTATACTTATCTGCTCCAAAAAATCTCGGGTATCACTGAAACGGAAGCTTATTGGGTTTGCTGCCAATTGTTGTTTCCTACACCCAGTCTAAATTTTTTGTACTCTGTAGAAGTTTGGTCTTTTATTTGTGGTATCTTAAATATACCAGGGTCTCTTGCTGGCTGCTCATATAGTTTTTGTTATATGTTTTACAGTTCTTGGTTCCATATCTCAAAGTCTGAAATTAAGCTGTCCATTGCAAATGCCTATTGGATTCAGGAATTATCTTGATGGTGTATGCCCGGTCAACATTTCTGTTACCGTTCTCGGTTTATTTCTGCCCATACGAAGCAGTTCCTCTGTTCTTTTTGTACATTGGCCACAACGAAGATTTTCCCATGTGTTTATTTTGGGATTCTCTTTCAATTTGCTCATGATTTTCTCGGATCCAGTCCTATATAGCCCTACATACTGCAGCCTTCGATAAACCCTGAGTCTAAATAGCCCATTTGATCCGTTCGATCATCATTTAGGAAGTTTATCTGCTTTTTCGTTAACTTTCATATCCTGATGCACTGGTACCCAGACAAGCTTAACTTGTCACAGCTCATGGTGGCACTCTGATTCTTTCAAATAACAATGATTTTTCTTCAGTTTCGAAATATGACTATTTGCTGGGTGAAAACTACTTCGAATTTTCTTTGATTTTTAATAAGAAATTTAATCTATACATTATTTGCATTTATAAATCACCTAGCTCTGATACTGAACTATTTTTTCAGAGCCTGCTAAATTTGTTAGATATTCTGCCCATTAAAAGCAGAAAAATTTTATGTGGTGATTTTAATATTGACTACGCTGCTGTTTGTGCGACCCAACTGTCTTTGGTAACTATTTTTGAATCATATGGTCTCACAATGCACGTTAAATCTCAAAAACATCATCCTTGACAATTGATTATGTGGTTTCCGATTTTCCACCCGCTGACGTCCATTCTACAGTTATTAGTGGGGGGCTTTCTGATCATGAAACGGTATATACCAAGTTTAGCAGTTTACAAACACCTCACTCAAAAACCCGACGATTAGGTAGGATTTTTTCCACTCAAAACTTTCGTAAATTCTATAATTCATGCTTGACGTCTGACTGGAGTTTTTCTTCTGGAGACATTGACTGTAATGTTAGTGATTTTCTAAATAGACTTGTATCTATTTTCAATAAAGCATTTCCTCTATTAAACATTAGGCCAAAACATAATAAACCTTGGATTACCAAAGGCATTCGCATATCTGCGAAAAATATGCGTTCTCTGCTATATATTAAAAAATTTAATGACAGTATCCCCATCTCTGATTATATCAACAAGTAAAGAAAATGCTATATAAAACTACTCAAAGTAGCCAAAAAATCCTAATTTCATAATCGCTTAACAAGCTCCAAAAATATTTCAAAAGAAACTTGGTCAATAATAAACGATTTTCGAAATAAAACCAGTACAGCGGATCAAACCTTTTCTTTTCCTAACCCCGAAAATCTAAATGATTACTTTGTTAATGTGAGTAAAAATATAACCTCAACTATTTCGCCACATCAAGATCCAGTTTCCTATCTTTCTAATTCAAAAAACATTGCTGATACCTTCTTTTTAAGACCAGTTGATAAGACGGAACTCATTTCAACAATTCGTAGTATAAAAAGCACATCGTCCTGTAGTACAGATGGATTATCTATTAAAATTTTCTCAAATCTACCGCATAATGTTTTGGACGTCATGGTCTCGCTAGTAAATGATTCCCTTGAAAAAGGTACATTCCCTAACTGCCTAAAGACTGCCATCGTCATTCCTCTTCATAAAGGTGGAGAAAAATCTGATGCCTGCAACTATAGACCTATTGCCTTGTTACCAGCACTATCAAAAATTATTGAAAGACTTATAAAAGTTCGACTTATGCCCTTTCTCCTTAAATATAATATTTTATCGCAAAATCAGTTCGGCTTTTTGTCTAATAAATGCACTAGTGATGCCATATTTTCTGTGTTACATAATGTATATCTATCACTTAACAGTAACCTCTCCTCCGCCACCGTTTTCTGCGACTATTCCAAAGCCTTTGACTGCGTAAATCACGACATTCTATTAAAAAAATTAACTTTCTATGGAATTCGGGGTGTGTCTTTGAACTGGTTCAAAACTTACTTGGTAGGTAGGAAACAATTGGTTAGAATAAATGACACCGACTCTAGTTGTAAAGATATTGAGTGTGGGGTACCGCAAGGTTCAGTATTAGGTTTCATTCTTTTTTTTACTTTTCATTAATGACATCACTTACTTGAAAATTAAAGGGAAAATTTTTCTATTTGCTGATGATACCAGTATTACTTGGAGCAGCTCTGATATTTCAACGCTTCATTCAATTATAACCGATGATTTACTTATAATCAAGGCTTGGTCAGACTCCAACTTACTTAGCTTTAACGTGGATAAGACTGTAGCATTATCTTATAAAGGAGTCATGCAACCCTTGCTTTTGAATGAGAGCCAAATCAATATCGTAAATTCCGTGAAATTTCTAGGTATTCTCATTGACAGTGATCTCAAATGGTCCTTGCATACTGACTCCTTAAGGAAGAAACTAGCCTCAGCTTGCTTTGCAATAAGATCTGTTTCGAAGGAACTAAATTTATCTTCTGCCAAAATGGCATATTTCTCATTGTTCGAGTCCCATCTTCGATATGGGCTTCCATTTTGGGGTTCTAGTACAGCGGCCCAATTTGATACTATTTTTAAGTTGCAAAAAAGAGCAATCCGTTATCTATTTGGTCTCAAACAAACAACTCATTGCAAGACCTACTTCAAAAATCACGGAATTTTGACGCTTCCCTCTTTATTTATTTTGGAAACGGTTTGTTTGATTCGAAAGCATCTAAACATTTTTCCCGATAGACCTGACCATGGCTACTCCATTAGAAATTCGGATTGTAACGTTTATTTGCCGATCCCGTCCACTCAGCTAGTAAAGAATTCTATTCTATATCGTGCAAAGAAACTTTATAATCACCTTCCAAGAGAAATTAAATCCACAACATCCTTCATTAAGTTTCGTAAGGTGACAAAAATCTATCTCTCAGAAAGACCATATTATTCAGTTGACGAGTTTCTTAATGTATAACAAAGAAACAAAATTAGTATTGTTTATAATTACATTTGGGTGTCTCAAGCAGTGGCTACAATTTGTCTCATTTGTTGTTGTCTGTACAAATTATGTAGGTTATACAATAATTTTACTAATTTAAAATTGTGTTATTCTGTTTTTTACTATATTGTTTTTGTTTTATACTTTTTGTATTAGTTGACTGATTTATTTTTTAGCTTTGTCCATAAAATTGTTCAATAATTTTCAGTGACAATAAAGCATATTTCGTCGGTCAGATAGCTCAGCGGGCTGTGCGGCTGCCTCTCATTCGCTTCACTGTTGAATGGTTTAGTGGATGTGGGTCGAGCCCAAGCTTGGTGTACAGAAAACAAAAAGTCTAACGCAGCAGTTTAAAATTCTAGATGAATCTGCGGCTTAGACTAGGATATACTGGGTTCTGATCGGCCTATGGTGGAGCAGTACGGCAAGAGATAAGGGCTTGCG